TTTGTTTCTTTCTTCCAATTTTTAGGTCATCATCAATCCAGGATAATTATATACTAAATTAATGGCATGAAGTTATTTTGGTCCAAAACAGTAAAGCAAATTTGGACTAAAATCACAGGAGGGGTAGCTATGGTTGCAAATTATCGGAAAGATTGTGTGCTCCTTTTTTTTGCTGGCTCAAAGGCAAATTTCCTTAGATTACTCTCTTTTAGGGGATGAAGTAGATTTTGTTTAGTTTCACCCTTACTGTGAGGATATGAACCTTATTTCCCCAGATTTTTAGGGAGGGGATGTCTCTCATGCTCCCCACATGAATGAACTCTGGGCATCACTTCCTGTCTATTGCAGCTCATGAATCCAACACAACCAAAGCTAAGATTTTTCCAGATTTGGCACATGCTCTAAGGATAAAAACAACTTTTCTCTTTGGATTATTTGCCCACTTTTATGTGTTGGTCTAAGTCATTATTCTCTTGATTATTCTACTATAGTTTGGATGCTTTTTATATTTTATCAATTATTTTTAGTTGTTTTTAGTGGAAGTGGCCACTTTAAAATTCAGCCTCCCAGGTTATGGAAATGGAATCCCCATGACCTATTTGATGATTGCTGGTATTTACCTGGCCCCCGGGCAGGTGCTAGGATGCAAGTCCACCGAAACCAATGCAGTTTGAGTCTTCTAGGAACGGTGCTCCTTTCTGAACTGCTTGTAATCTGCCCACAGTAAGACACATACAGAAACTGAAAGTGAGTGTAAGCAAGTAAACCTCTACCCTATCTTGTCCCGGACTGGTGACTATCATGGAAAAGATGAGCATTTCTATTATGTCATTGGATCTGCTGAAACAGTTTGATTATTATCTCTTCATGGACCAGAGACTGAGTGGCAGAGTTTCTAAACTAGGATGGTGTTTAGACTCTTGTTGGGTCACATAAATACTCATCAATGTTATACTCTCCCAAGAACTATGTGCACAAAGAAATATAAATATTAATGTAAAATGTCAGTGTACATAAGGAAGGATCCTCTGAAGTCTTACAGACCTTGGTTTTTTAATCCAAGCAAGAGACAAAGGCAGGGAGAAGACATTTCGAGGAATCACTTTCTCATCCCACAATGCCACTCCCCTTATTTGTGAAAATACTGGAGTACACAAAAGCTGGACCCCATAACACACTATCAAGGGTTTATGTTGAAAGAAGTCACTTATCCAACCAAACCTGGGTGTCTACAATGTGCCAGTTGAGGTTCTGGTTTCAGATTACTCCTCCAAAAAAGTTGAAGTTTGTCATTTTTTCCCATCCCTCACCCTTAACATGACCCTTAGAACCTGTTCCCTCTTTCCATGTTGGGAGAATCCCATACTTAAAGAGTCTTGGAAGAAGGCAGAAACCCCCTCCATCTGTAAGAGAGGGAAACCCACTTTCCCAAACATTCCTGCAGTTGGACCTGTCATGAGGCTCCACCAGTCAGGCAACCCCATGCTGGACTCTGACTCAGGACGTGGTGACACAGATAGACTGGGGCTGTGAAGAATGCATCTGGCAAAGGTGGTATGAGTGGCAGTGGTGTCATGAAGCAGCCAGGGGCAGCAAAGACAGCAGTCCCAGCTACAGGACCCAGTGTCCAGCATCAGGAGAGTCAGTGGTAGGAGCAGTGGCATCTGTGCCTAGAAGCTGCGGCAGCAATTCCTATGAGGGACCCGAGGCCCTAACACTTTCTCTCTCTGTTTATCTACATTCATTTATGTTTCAATTAGAACAATTTGGAATCCATTGTTCGCACCAAGAAGGGAGTGAGAAATCCACGTAGGGAAAAGATTCACAGGGCAAGGATTCAGAGATTTTTTCCTAGCTTTATTGAGATAAAATTGACATATAATATTGTGCATGTCAGAGATATACGACCTGTGGATTTGATCCTTACACTGCAAGATGATTAACACCATAGAGCAAGCCAACACCTGCATCACGTCACATAATGACCAATTCTTTTTTGTGGTGAGAACATTTAAGAACTCTCTTAGCAACTCAGATTTTCTTTTGCTGAGCTGACAACCACTTCCAAAATCTACTACCTGTGTCACCCCACAGTAGACACAACATATACCTCCCAGCATATATCTTGCCTCTTTCTTTCCTGCAAAAGAAAATGTTAAATGTGAATTTAAGATTCCTCTTCACCCTGAACACTCTCTGGTCATTGGCATCAGAGGTTCCCAATCTGGCCAAGCACCAGGATTGCTTGTGGGCTTGTTACAAAATACTCAAGGCTTCTCCTCAGACCCACTATGTTAGAATATTGAGCAAAGCACCGAAGAATCACGTATTTAGCTAGCCCTACATCTGAGGCTGATGCACAGCGATGTGGCAATCCTGGTCTACGTTCGTGCTACTAAATGTGTGATCTGAAGACCAGCAGCATCAGCACCAAACGGGTTATAAATGCAGACTCTCAAGCTCTACTCCAGACTGTTTAGTTTTTTTTTTAAAGATTTTATTTTTCCCCTTTTTCTTCACAAAGCCCCCAGGTACATAGTTGTATATTCTTCATTGTGGGTCCTTCTAGTTGTGGCATGTGGGACACCACCTCAGCGTGGTTTGATGAGCAGTTCCATGTCCGCGCCCAGGATTCGAACCAATGAAACACTGGGCCACCTGCAGCAGAGCGCGTGAACTTAACCACTCGGCCACGGGGCCAGCCCCCAGACTGTCTAGTTCTTAATGAGATGTCTAGAGGATTCCTGTGCACAGGAAAGTTGAGGACCCCCTTGTCTCCATGCCTTCTAGATGTGGTGTCAGAACCGCGCAGTGTGCTTTGCATGTGTGATCTATCAGATGACCTACCACAGGAGGGGTCCAGGGTTCAGTCCTTATTCCTTTGTTTTCCATAGTCATCACTCCCCTGGTGACCTCATCGGTTTTCAAGGCTTTAAATATCATTTATATAGTGTGATTTCTCAAATCCATTTCTGCAACCAAGACATGTCACCTAAACTCCAGACTCAAATTATAAACTGCTAACCTCACTTGCATTTCTAATAAACAACTCAAATTCAACATTTCTTAAATTGGATGACTACGATGCTGCTTCCTCAAACGTGTTTCTTCTATCCTCCTCTCCATTTCCACTGGAGGCACTCCATGTTTCTACTTGCACATCTGAAATTTGGGGTGTCCTCCTTGATCCTCTTTCTCATAACCCAGATTTAATCCATTAGGAGATGCTGTAAAGCCCATCTTCAGAAGGTACCCAGAATCTAATCCCTTCCTATTATTTTCTCTGCTCACAGTCCAGAGAAAGCAACGAACATCTCTAGCCCAGGACACGGCACTAGTCTCCTACAGTTTTCTCTACCGGTTGCTTGTCCTTCACCTCTTGATTCTGCACAGCACCAGACTGATGCTTCTAAAGAGAAGGCCTACGAGATTATCTTCTGTTCAAAGCAGTCTTGTAACTCCACATCTTACTCAAAGAAAAGTCAAAACCTTCCAATACCTTCGAGGTCTACATGGCCTGGGTGTAATTCGGACCTCATGTCAATATTCTCTGCTCCAGCCACACCAGCCTCCTCGCTCTTCCCAGAAACACAGACACACTCCTGCCCTAGCGCATCTGCACTGGAGGCTCCTCTGCCTGTGAAGAGCTTCCCCCAGACATCCTCGTGGATAATTCCTCATGTCCTTCACATCTTTCCTCAAGGTCACCTTCCCAGTGAGGCCACACTGACCACTCTAGGAAAACAGCCACCTTCCCTGTCCCCACACACTTATACTCTGAGTCACCTTCCTGAAGGCACTCACAACTTCTCACATAAACACTTCCCTTATTTACTATGCTTATAGCATACAGTCTGCCCCTCACCACTAGAACACATGCTCCACAAGGCTGGCAATGCCTATTTTTAATTCTCTGAGGTTTCCTAGATGTAAAAATACTTTGTCATCTATCTGGCAAATTAGTTGAATGAATGATCAGTATAGAGCACCTCCCTATTCTAGAGACAGTGTCTTTATTAATGTAGCCTCAGTCCACATGCTGTTTTGTGGAAGCTACAGCACAACGTCCACTCACACTGACATCAGTGCCGCCTGTATTTTTCTCACAAGTGCTGCTCTCCCCTCCCTTCCTCCCACAGCTGCCCTCCTGCAAACTCACATACACAATTATATTTCTCTGTTCAGAAAGAACAATCCTAGGCTTATGGGCCCTATTTTTCCAACCAATTGTGAACCTAAACTAGATTCAACTTTTTAAATCAATGTGTTTGGATTGGAGCCAGCATCCAACTGGGCCTCGTCAACTAGGATGACAAGGGCTAAGGGCAGAGATGGGGCAGGCTGCAGAGAAGAAAGAAACTCAATGGGAATTTATGTGAGATGAAAAACTATTGAATCCTTCCTGTCTACTACTTCTAGATTCTGGTTCTATAAAACTGGGGGAAGATGGACAGAACAATCCAGGAAACAGCTCTAGAGGGAGGGTGAGAGCTGGATGAGTCTGAAATTTCGTCCCTCGATACCACAGAGTCTCCTGTGTGCAGGGCCCACCCTGGGCCTTGTGGGGACAATGACAGGCCAAATGACTGCTGCTGCTGGCAGAGATGGGGACACCCAGAGGAGACTGAGACAGAACTCAAAACATGAAAAAGGACAGGCATAATCCAAAAAAACCCCAAAGAAACAAAGTATAACACACAAAAGGTGGAGGCAGAAGGCCGGACCCTGGACGGAGCCTAGGCTGACCCGGCCACAGGAAGCCCTCACTGCCCACGGTCCTGAAGACATGAGGTGATCTCCTCATCCCTGTGATCACAGATACTGATGGAACAAGGTTCTATAGAAGGAAGCAGAAGAAAGGAGCAGAGAGATGCGCCAGCTGAGGGATGACAACATTATAGCCCAGGATGCACTGACTGCGCACAGGCCCTGTCCACTCTCAGCTCCTTTCAGCCTTCTCCTGTCCCCACCTGCCACAGACTCAGCACAGCAAACACGAATTTCGGAAGGTTCTCAGTGCTTCCATTTATTTTACCTCTCAAACTTTAGGAATCTTCTTCTTTAATTAACACATCAATCTCTTATGAGAAGAATTAGAAAAATTCATATCTGGATTCCTATTTTCAGCAAGGAAGCAAATGATCACTACTCAGTGCAACAGGAAGTTAAGAGGGATGGAGACGGCCCAGCCCAACATCTGCTGGAACAGGAAATTAGATCAGGGAAAGCACAAAGGTCAGTGTTGGGAACAGGTTGGGTAATGGTGGGCAGGGGTGGGCCTGTCTCCCCACCTCCTCTCATTATGCTAATAGGACCACACACACTCAGATGCCAACTGCAGAAAGAGAAGTGAGGGCATCTGAAGTCACAAAGTGGGAGCATGAACAAATCTTGCATCACTTGGTCTCCCACAGGGCCACTGTCTCACACTGTAAAAGAAAATAATCATGAACAAATTCATGTCAGTCACTTAGGTGTTGACATTCTCAACAGCCCTCTGCATGCTCCAAATGCCCCAAAGAATCCCCATAAACCAGTTGTGTCCCCTCTGCCCCAAAGCCCCTCCCCATGTCAGGCCCTCCAAGTCTCACCTTTCTGCGTGAGAGATGCATCAGAGCCTTGGGCACTGTCACTGTCTGGGGTAGAACAAAACAGGAAGTGGTCAGAGCCCACAGGAGATGAGGAACTATGGTGTGGGTGAGCTCCCCTCCCGGGGCTCCTGTCTCCAGTATTCCAGGGGTCTCAGGGATCAATCCCCCACTCAAACTTACTTGCAGTCTGCACGTAGCTCCCTCTTTTTTCACCTGTGGGAAGAAAACAGGGAGAAGGCTGGGCCATGAGATCCTAGAGGAACTCCCTAGTCCTGGACCACAGGGAAGTTTCCAGAACTATGACTGAAGACCCAGGGCAGGATTGAGAAACAGGACGAAAGGAGATGTGTGAGGACTGGACCAATGCCCTCCTGGAGGTCCGTCCTCAGCAGGGACCTTCCCTCTGACCTTCGACTGCTGGGAATCAGGTCCCCAGCACCAGAATTATCAAGGTGAAAAAATCTGCCCTTCATTTTCATAAGCGCTTTAATAAGAGTGTTAACCATCAGCTCCAGAATGGCAAATACATGAGTGTGGACGGCACTTTCCAGTAACGGGGCAGGGCAAGTTCTGCTTGGTTCTTGAAACCCCCCAGGGGGACAAGAAAACTCAGATCCCAAACCCCCTTCCCTACCTGAGCGCTTCTTCCTCCAGGTCACAGCTCCAGCCACCACAACGACAGGGAGACCCAGGCCAGCAAGGACGCCCACGATGAGGATGGTGGACTGAGGCGGCAGCTCTGACAAGGGAAGGGAAGGTGAGGGCCCTGACCCCAGCTCTCAGCCCTGACCCTGCTGAAGGTCTCCAGAAGGGCTCCTGATTTCCCTGAGAAGAGGCTCTGAGCCCACGGCTCCCTCCTTACCCCATCTCAGGGTGAGGGGCTCAGGCAGCCCCTCGTGCTGCACATGGCACGTGTATCTCTGCTCCTCTCCAGCGGGCACCACCACAGCTGCCCACTTCTGGAAGGTCCCGTCCCCTGCAGGCCTGGTCTCCACAAGCTCCGTGTCCTGGGTCAGGTCCTCCCCATCACGCTGCCAGGTTAGGGCGATCTCCGCAGGGTAGAAGCCCAGGGCCCAGCACCTGAGGGTGACCTCATGGTCAGAGATGGGGTGGTGGGTCACGTGTGTCCTTGGGGGATCTGAGGAAGAAGATTCAGAAAATTCACACTTTCAGTTACCTCCATGGGCCACTGAAGCATCATTCCTGTGACCATCCTGAGAACGGACAGGACAACTGGTTTGGAAGGAGGAAGCACAGAACCCAGACAGCAGCCTGGACCTGCAGATCCGGGATAATCTCCTATTCCTTGGAAAGTTCTAGAATAAGGGTGAGAGCCCAGGGTACGAGCCTGCAGGTCTCTAAACAGGAGAACACAGACTTCTGGTCCTGACCTGGGTGGAGGGTGAATGACTCAGAAAAACTGGAGTCAAAGTCGCACAGATGTTCTCAGGCCGAGAACAAGGCCTTGAGAGAGAAAGTCATGGGTCACAAGGAGGCTGCCAGGGTCAAAGGGAACCATGGACGGTGATTTCAGGGATGGGCTTCCCTCCTATTCCTGAAGAAACTGGATTCCTTCACTGTCCATTAGAGAAAGGCGGGCCCTCTGGACGAGTCTTTAGTTAAGAACATGAAAACCTGGGTGGATTCCTTTCTTTTCTGAGGGACGGTATTCTGCCACTGATCCCATTTCCCCTCTTTGTGGGAAGCCAGCCCGGTCCCAGCGGAGATCAGGAGTCCCCGCGGTCCCTCGTACCCGCGCGCTGCAGCGTCTCCTTCCCGTTCTCCAGGTATCTGAGGAGCCACTCCACGCACCTGCCCTCCAGGTAGTTCCTCCAGCGCTCCGCATGACCGGCCGCCTCCCACTTGCGCCGGGAGATCTGAGCCGCCGTGTCCGCCGCGGTCCAGGAGCGCAGGTCCTCGTTCAGGGCGATGTAATCGGCGCCGTCGTAGGCGTCCTGACTGTACCCGCGGAGGAGGCGCCGGTCCGGCCCCAAGTCGCAGCCACACATCCTCTGGAGGGTGTGAGACCCTAACCCCGCCCCGAGGTCAGCCCCGCCCACCAGGCCCCGCCCCCGCCCCCCCGCAGCGATTAAACCTAAACTGAAAATGAACCCCGGAAAAGTCCCCGCCGGCTCTTCCCGGGGGGCCAGGCGGGTCCCGCAGCCTCGGGGTGAATCTCGGGCCCGGAGACTCGGGGAGACCCCGGCCCGTCCGTGGGGATGGGGGGCGCGGCCTGGACCCGGGCCCGCGTCGCTCACCGGCCTCGCTCTGGTTGTAGTAGCCGCGCAGGGTGTTCAGGTTCGCTCGGAAAGTCTGTGCGGCTTCCTTGTAGATCCGCGTGTTCCGCTCCCAATACTCCGGCCCCTCCTGCTTCATCCACGGCGCCCGCGGCTCCTCCTTCGGACTCGCGGCGTCGCTGTCGAACCGCACGAACTGCGTGTCGTCCACGTAGCCGACGGAGATGAAGCGGGGCTCCCCGCGGCCGGGCCGGGACACGGCGGTGTAGAAATACCTCAGGGAGTGGGAGCCTGGGGGCGGGGAGGGGCTGAGAGGCGGCCGACCCTCCTCCCGGCGCGGGTCCCCGGGTCCGAGGGTGATGGGGCCGGGAGGGAGGAGGGGGCTATGGGGTCGTGAGACGGAAAAGGGGCGGTGGACGGAGAAGCGCGGGAGACCCCAGTTGGGTGAGAGGAGGGGGCGGGAGACTGGGGAGGGAAGGAGCCGGGTCAGGACGCGGCGGGGCCGAGGAGGGGTGGGCTGGGTGGGTCTGGGCTGGGTCTGCGGAGACGCGCCTTCCCCGGGGGTCCTGCGCCCCCGCGGCGCGGTCCCCTCGCTCCGCCCCCCGCAGAGGCCGTTTCTTCCCGACCCCGCACTCACCCGCCCAGGTCTCGGTCAGGCTCAGGAGCCCGCAGAGTAGCAGGAGGAAGGTTGGAGGCCTCATGACCCGCATCCTCACGATCTGGGGAGACTCTGATCCCCGGCTGATCAGGGTGGACTTTATAACCCGGAACCCCGGAGACGCTGATTGGCTTCTGTAGACACCGGACACGCAATGGGAGTGAGAACTGGGGTCGCGTCATGAGTCTCCAGGCAGGAGGAGCTGACACAGGTTGTGAGAGGGAGAAGTGAATCTCAGGGAGACGGGGACTCCCCAACACTGAGCTTCCCCGCCCCAGACTCCGCCCTCGAACGTCGGACCCTGAGAGCCAAGTACGGGGACCTGGGACTTTGTCCTGACCCCTCTCCTCCTGCACCGAGAGCTCTTTGTCACACCGTCTCCCTGAGTCCTCGCCCAGGGGCGGTTTGTGTCAGCGATTGTCAAGCACTTTGGTTTCAGGATATCCGTAGTCTTACAAATTAGCGAGGGCCCCGAGGGTAACTTTGTTTATGTTGGTTGTATCTATCCGTATTTACCATACTAGGAACAAAAGTTTTAAAATATTTTTATTAATGTGTTTAGAATAATATGTATAACCGACTGCAAGTTAAAAGAAATAATGTTTTTCTGAAAAATGACATTTTCCCAAAATAAGGTAGTGAGAAGAGTGGGTCTTTTTACACTTTATGTCTTTGCAAGTCTCTTTCTTGTCTGGGATTAGAACACCACTGGATTTTCATATTTGCTCTTCATTTCATCTGTTGTTTTGGTTGATGTATATGAAAAAAATACCGCCTCAGACAGATATGTAGGAGTAGTATTTTTAATAACCTTTCCAGATAATTGTGGCTATTCAACTTTGATACTAAAATAAAACTAAACACGTGGCAGTTTCTCAAAGGTTATTTGCAAAGTGGAACCTGAAACAGTATCACTGACTATTTCCTATTCTGTTACATTAAAATCCACAGGCCTATATTACATGTTGAATGGCTCTTATATTAATGTATGATTTTTAAAAGTAATGCACTGTTTCACTAAGTTATATGGATCTTCCTGTGTTGATGCATTTAACTACAAACTATCAAAACATCACATTTGTTGATGTGACCACAGATCTCAACAGGAAAGTCTGTCAGGACTGGGAAGCTGTCAAGCTTATGTGGTGGACACAAGTTTTCCAAAATTCTCATTTTCTCTTGAGAGCTTCCTTTTACCAAGGCAATAAGACCTGTCAGTTGTTACCTGTCAGTGGATTTTCTTGAAGGGAGAAGCTCATGTTCATTTTGAGAAAGTAAGCATTTTCTGCAAGTAAGTGGTGGTGGAGATAACTACCACTGCAGTTTGGTACCATGGCCTCCATTCTTACTAATTTTTACCTCAGTGCAAATGTCAACATAGTGAGAAGGTGGATGGTGTCTAGTAATGTTATGAAAAGAGTTTTACCGCATGGCTCGGTGAAAGGATCTCAGTGACTTCAAGGGTTCCACAGACCTTGCTTTGAGAATTGGTATTCTGAATGAACCAGGGTCCCCACATTTGCCTCCTCTTGATTTCCCAGAATCCCGCTCCCTAAATTTGGACTGTCTGCCTCCCAAAACTTCGAGTGTTGCCCCTGGTCTCCTCTAGAAGAGAACTCACTTGCTAGAAATTTGATGCCAGAGAATGTCCTCAGTCTGGGATGGGAGGTGAAGGGACAGGTGTTTCCCTTTGGAACTGGGACCAGTTTGTGCCTGACTGCACCAGACCCACTGATGACCTATGTTGGTTTTGTTATACACCAGCTGAATATTTATTCATATCTCAGACAGAAATCTGAGAGAAATAATATTGGCTCTTTCGTTTTACATGGTTCTGATTCATCTGATTTGAGGCCCACAAAGTATGACGAGCAGTATGTCCAATAGGACTCCCTGTGATGAAGGAATTGTTCTCTGTCTCCACTGTCCAATATGGAAGCCAGTAGCTATGTGTAGCTATTGAGCACGTGAAATGTGGCTACTGTGCTGAGTGGTTGAATTTTTAATTTTATTTACTTTAAATAACCATATGTGGCTAGTAGCTACCATATTGGACAGTGCATATCTAGAATGTTCTTAGCTTTCAGTCTCCTCCCCCAGGAAAGATACCGTGTGACTCACAGGTTGATGCATATTAAAATTATCTTCATGTGGAGGTCATGGATTTGTCTATGCGGGTCTTAGACATATCCTTAAAATACAGCATGCCCAAGAAGTTGAATTAATATGTATTTTAACAACTAGAGTGTACAAACATTAACCAATACATGATTTATCACCTTAAGGTCCTAGGTATTCAAAAATGCCCATCACTGGAGCTAATCCTTGTGTGTGTCACACTGGGACTCTTGGTGGTATTATCTAACCTGGTAAACATAAGCAGACATGTTAAGTCTTCACTGAGCCCAAGAGAAGGCATTTATTGGACACAACGTACATCAAATACTTTGAGGCCCTGCACCTACTTGTAAAATTACAGAGCAGAAGATGTCAGCCTGAGGATTCCACTGCCTTAGAATGCTTCACCTACTGCTCCTTCCCATACTGCCCCCATAATTCAAACAGTTTTCTCTGTTTCCCTTCACCCTTGCACCCCTCTCCTAGATGAAAATATCCATGAAATGTTTACAGTTGTGGAATGAAGAATTCTCTAAGCATGACTCAAAGTTGAAAAACCATGAAGAAAAACATAAAACTTGTCTGTGTCAACCACACACTCACAATGTTACAAACACTTGCCCATGATCAAGCTCAAAGACACATAAACAATTTTGACAGACAGAAGGGTAGTAACATGCCTCAATGTTCTTCAGCCAAAGGCCACCAGGAGCACATCTGTGGGCCAACAGGTTGGATGTATTACTTGTTACCTTGTGGGAGAACACACACCATTGGGGACCACAGTGCATCTTAGTGTGAAAGTGTTAGAACATTCATAGGATTTGGGCTTTGGTCGGGTGATTTGGGGAGGATCTATGGAAGCAGGGGCTCATTCTAGATTGCATGCTGTCAGGAAGTGAGGGCAATTCTATGAGTGGGCATCTCAATAAATCTTATCTGTAGACAGGGCCGACTAGAGCAAGGATAAGGAAAGAAGCAGCAGTCGCTCATATGAGCCACCAGCGGGAGATGTTTGGTATTTTGTGAGTTGCACAGTATCTTGTTTTTGTCTGTGCTGAGACAAAGTGCTGTAGTGATCTCGTTGTGTCTCACTTTGTCATGTTCTCAGTGTGTCCTTGTCTGATGTTGATGTTCTGTGCGATGACTTATGTCCAACAGGAGAATAACACGTCAGGTGGTGAGCACCAGGCCAGCTTCTGACAACACTGAGACCTAGTGGTAAGTGTTAGACCAGTTCCCAATGTTGGGGCTACTTTCCCTTATTTCTAAATTCAATATTTTAAGATAAGCCCTCCCAATAAATAATAATTAAAGAATATTGAAAACAAAATGGAAAAAAAGCAATGCAAATGTGAAACCAATATAATAGTAATAAATAAATGTAAACAAAGTGAGAATGTGGAATAAGAAATGGGAATAAAAATTAAAATCTATCAGCTTGGCAAAGATGCAAGCAAGTGATGAGAGTATTTACCAGAGGGCATGGAAAATACACTGTCGTAAAGAGTGATGGGGTTGAAAACTGGTACAAAATGTCTAAAGGCACTTTTGAAAAATATCTCAACAATTTAAATTGACTTAAGTTTTGATGCAGAAACTTCTCTTTAGGAATTTATGCTAAGGAATAATCAAACGTGTTCTCAAAAATATGTGTTCAAGGACGTTTCTTAAATTGTGGTTTATATAAGCAAAAGAATGGAATTTATCTAAATGCTTTAATCTGTATAAAGATGTTAGCTATGAATAGTGGAACACGCCATATGTCTCAAGCAATGATGCCATGATTTACATTGAGGGTCAGATATAATCCACAAAGCAAACACGTGAGGCACCAACATGTGATCCTTTTGTACAGACAGGGAAACGGAGACTCAGAGAGGTTTAGGAGCCAGGGTTGAACCCAGGGAGTTTTCTCTCAGAGCTTTGTTGACTTGTCTTTCATTGATTCTCTGTCCAATGTTGGTGGCAGGATGACTCTGCACCCCATGCAAATAAACTGTTTCAATGTTCCAGAATGTTTTATGACAGGAGGCCACTAGACTCAGAGCTCAGGAGGACCTCAAGGAGCAGTGTGAATTAACTGTCCAAACCACAGTAAAGTCCATCATCCAGCATATGTTTTGAGGTGTCCAGTGGATCAAAATCTTCTAGACTCTGGAGATACAGTGAAGAGCAAAACAAGACCCTGGTGATATGGAGCTTGCATTGTTTTGAGAAGGTGGACATTTAGCAGAAATGACACAGATGAATGAAATCACTCCTGAGCTAAGAGCTATGAGGAAAAAAGTTCACGATATCCTGAAAGCAAATAACCAGGAGACCTAACAGGTCCCCTACCACTATCATCAATAATATGTAGAAGATGTAAGAGATATATGACACATATAACAGGAACAGAGCTATATACGATTATTTACAATCATAGAACAAGAAAAAGCACTTGAAATAAAAAATGTGACCATAGAAATGAATAATTCAGTAGATGAACTGGAAGAATAAAGTCATACTCCCACTAAATAGTTCAGATGGAAAAGTCACGGCAAGCAGGGGAGAAGACCTATGAGAATATTAGTCTATCCATCAGGCATTCCAACACATTAATAAGATCAGTTTCAAGAAGAATAGAGTAGGAAATGATAAAAAAAAATTTCAACAAAATTTCTCAGAGTTTAGAGATAAAGTTTACATTTTGAATGGCCTAACCAAATTCTTACTACAGTAGATGAAAACAGACCCACACCATGACAATCATAACATAATTTCAGAAAGAGGATAGAAAAGAAGAGACCTTGAAAACTTCAAGAGGCAACAAACACAGGCCTGGAGTCTAGAAGACATTTTAGCAATGCCTTCCAAATTCCAAGGAAATATATTCCAACATGGAGTTCTTATCAAGTCAAGATGTGAGTAAGGGCTGGGGCAACCTAAAGACATTTCAGATGTTTAGGGTTTCAATGTGTTACTTTCCATGTTCCCTTCCTCAGTTTACTGCCAGGCAAAG